CAGTTTTCCAAAGTGCAATGCCATTTTACACCAACAGCCTGAGAGCACCAGCTGCTGCATCCTCGCCTTTCTGGTGGAGGCGCTGTGGCTGCACTTTGCCTTTCCTGAATGACTGCACAGCTGCTGAGCACCTCTTCAGCAATATGCTTACTGGCCATGTGAACATCCTCCTCCATAGAGTATCTGCTTCCAGGCCTTAGTCCATCTTTTTTCAATTGGGTTGTCTGACTTTTTCTTGCTGATTTACTTACTGTCTTTCATTATATATTCTGGATACGAGTCTTCTATCAGATATATGCACTGCAAATATCTTTTCCCACTATGTGACTTGCCTTTTACTCTCTAAATGGTGTGTCTCTTGAACTGAAGTTCATAGTTTTAGAATTCTGAACTATCAGTCATTTACCTTTAATGTTTTAGTGTCTTTAATAATGAATTTAATAATATATCTTTGCCACTCCAAGATCTTGATGACATCCTTCCATGTTTTCTTCTGAAGCCTTATTTTCTTACCTTTTGCCATTTTAAGTAGTGACATATTTCAAAGTAATTTTTCTATATGGGGTGACAGATGAGGTCAAGATTTATCCCTCCCCATGGATATTCAATTAACCCAGAAGCATTTACTGGCAAGACCCACCTTTCCCTAATGAATTGCAGTGGTGTCCTCTTTATAAATCAGGTGACTTTACAGAATTAGTCTTTAATGATAAGTTCCAGTTCTAAAAAGAACTTTTAAAATGTTAGGTATTTGCTGTCAGAAGATTATGAACAAATATTTAAGACATATTTAGGTGTCTGTTCAAACTATTAGTTTTTCAACAAATATCTGAACTCTTAATGAATGCAAGACACCATGCTGCCCAATACAAAGGGTACATTAGGTTAAATCACCCCTCATTATGTAGCAAGCAAATCAATCACATTCAGAAATACACTAAGTACTATAGGCCATGGTGATGAATTGCTTTGTACCCTCAAGTATACTTTCTGTGCAGAAAATGTTCTTCAAAGGTTTACTTAGATTTTTTAAAAATTCAACTTATTAAGGTTAAAATGCAAAATTTCAGTTATTATTTAAAGCTTTTAGATTGAGCTTACAAATCTTCTATTTACAAGAGTAGCAGATTTTAGAAGTCACTTTTAAGAGGCTTTCGAATATTGTTTGGTCCCATTCACAAACCTGGTTAACTAAATGCCACAAAACTTTTTACTTATGCTTATAAATGTAATGTATTTTATTTCCCATTTGTCTAACTTCATAAAGCACAATAACTTACATGTACTTTCATATACCAAATAAATTAAACTTCTAAGGTAAGCCTAATTTCTCCTAAATGTTCCCCAAAAGTACCTAACATAAATTTATACATGAAAAACACAGATCTAAATTATTCTGTAATACATTTTAAATTGGAATTGCATTCTTACCACCCTCATTAGCCACATTTTCTTAAACTACAAGTACAGGAAAATAATAAATATGGAAATATGTACATATCCCTTAACAGAAAAATATTATTACTAATAGTTTTGATTCTCTTAGACATTCTATTCCTAATTCTCAATCTTCCAGGGGGTTGAAAGATGCTTACCCAATACAGAAGACAATTACCATCCAAGTTAACCAAGGTAGCGAACAGAAATCGCAGCTGGTATGAGATCTGGAGCTGCAGACATACTTCCACACCAGATGTATAATGTAGGCAAGCTTTCTTCACATTTTGATGTTGCCTACAACCAGGTATTTCAGCTAGAACAGTGACTGGATTCTTCTGAGTCTGATAGGATATACTAAGCCTTATTTAAAGTTGCTAAGCCAGTCATTTCATCACTTCAAAGGTGAGGAGGAAAGGGATGATAACATTAACAATTCTTCAGTCTAAGGGTAGAATTTCACCACTCCCAGGCAGATTAATTACTCGACTATAGCTTGCTCTTCCTTGGCTCTAAAGACAGGTCCTTGTCTTTTCCATTTAACTGAATGAATTTAAATCAAATAACCTTTGAACTTGAAAAACTTAGAGTGGTTATTTTCTACCTAACTCTAAAGACCGTAAGATTAAATGGACAATGGCATTCTTTCAGATTTTAAGGACTACACAGCTTTCACAGATATTAAAATAATATCAGTTGAATCTTAGATAGCTCAGAATTCTTTGTCTAGTTCTTAAAGGCAAGTTAAGATTACAGGTTTTCAAAACATGGGGATAAGAAAAACATGATATAGTCCCCTCATTCAAGAAACTTGTAATTTAGCTAAATACATATGCATATTTTAAGACTTCTACTGGACATCTCTCTCCATCCACACAAAAATACTACAACTAAAGCCTTGTTGGAGAAGAGTTCCCAAATAAACTATAAACAGGAGTCCTCAAAAACAACAAACTATAGGATAAGACCCTCAAGAATTTATAACAGAAATACAAAAATAATAATTACATGGTAACAGCAACAAAAATAAACAGAAAACCTTTCCACTATAAAGCATGTAGAAATTCTGGATCAAATGTAACAAATTCCTTTCATGTATATAGGTGATCTTACCAGAGGGTAAGAGAAATACCTAAGGGCCAAAAAATAAGTAAGAGAGCTGATGGCATGACAGTCCTTTAGGGTTTCCGGGCTTCACACACCTAAGGGCTTGAGATTCAGCGATCACACAGTAAGACCGGAGACAAGGCCTTAGGCCCACAGGTCAAAGAAGCTGAACTGAGACCTCCACATGAAGCCAGGATGCTCAAAGGGCTACAACCCAGTGACAGAGTAGAATTAAAACACAGACACACAGAAAAACAAGTACACCTGTCTATGTGGGCCTATGGTCTGCATTTGCAAGGCAACAGTCTCCCCTAGAAATGGTACCCACGGGCCTGCTCTCATGGGGTTTGAGATTCAGTTTTATACCACCTTAAGCAAAGACATTTACCTAACAGTGGTCCTGGATAAGTGACATATCTAAGGAGCCTACCTGAAGCAACCACAGACCCTCTCAGGAGTGACATCCCTCTCAACAAGCCACTCAACAACTAACACCTTAAAACAGGCTCAACTTTAGCACGAATAAGAGCCATCAGAAATAACAAAAAAGATAAGACTCTCAATAACTTCTGACAATAGAATTTCCAGTTACAGACTATTAAGTCAATGTTTAAAATGATTAAAAACATTAAAAAAGAATTTAAAACAAAAGAAACACAAGTCTTAATATAAATAAAAATAAATCCACACTTAGATAATTCACAGTGAAACTGCTTAACACCAAACACAAAAAATAAAATCATAAAAACAATGAGAGAAAAGAGAAATTATCTACAAACAATAGACTGATAACACAAGCCAGAAGGCAAAATACTACTACTACCAATGTCATTTTCAAAACACAGAGAATAAATAACTACCAATCTAGTACTCTAAGCTAAATTATCATTTATGAGAGAAGAAAAAATAAAGATATTGAGACAAAAACTGAGGGATTACCACTAATAGGGATCTTTGTAAGAACTACTACAGATACACTTCAGCCAAGAAGAATCTGAAACTAAATCTAAACAAGAACTTTACTTACTCATTCACTCAACCTTTACTGAGTGCCCACCCTGTGCGAGGCACTATTCTTGGTGCTAAGGGTGGAGCGCTGTGAAGGATCCAAGGCCCTGACCTTAGAGAGCTTGCAATGTAGTAGGGATGGTAAACAGTGGGCACATCACATACCACCAGGCAGCTCTAAGTGCTGTGGAGAAAAATAAAGCAGAGTGTAATAATTAAAATATAGTGGCCAGGGTAAGACTCTCCAGGGAACATCTGAACAAAGGCCTAACTGAGGTGAGGGCATTAGCCACGTGAGTATTGAGTATCGAGTGGGGCAGGGGGTTAGGGGAGTGGATGATGAAAACTACAAATAACTCGTGAGCACTTCCTAAGTACCAAGCTCTTTTTTATACTTTACTTACATTTAGCCATTTAATTCTCATAACCCCATGAGGTAACTGCAGTATGGATCCCCAATTTATAGAGGAGGAGAATGAGGGACGGGTTGACAGGTCCTCACAGACACTAAGTGGCAGAGTCAAGCTGAGAACCCTCAAAACCTGGTTAATTATCAAGCTCCGGGCAGAGGGAACCGCCTCCCAGAACCTGAGCTCCCGGAAAGCAGGAACCTTCCTCCTATTCTTTGCGTCCATAGTGCCTGGTACACAGGGGGTCCTGGATATGTTGGTCTGACCTCAGTGAAGCAGAGAGACGAGGACTAGGGAACAGCAAGAGGAGGAGATGAGACAAAGAGGCCACAGTCAGAAAAAAAGAAAGAGAGGAAGAAAACGGAGCAGCGTAATGTCACAGAAGCCTAGGAAGGAAGAGTTCCAGAGAAAGATGGAGAGCGTCATCAAATGCTACAAGGCTAAACATACTAAGTCTTGAGAACAGACATTCATATTAATTTAGGAAGTTACCTGCAAGAATTCAGCCCCAACACTGCAATGAATGGCCATCCAGGACTTGCAGTCATGCTGGGAAAGGCACTGCAGTGCGCGGCACAGCACACCGTGCGGTGTACATACAGCAGTCGGCCAGGGACCCAGGAGGGGACATGACCGTGGCCAAGTGCAGCCAGGCATCTTAAAGGCAAGTTAAGATTACAGGTTTTCAAAACATGGGGATAAGAAAAACATGATATAGTCCCCTCATTCAAGAAACTTGTAATTTAGCTAAATACATATGCATATTTTAAGACTTCTACTGGACATCTCTCTCCATCCACACAAAAATACTACAACTAAAGCCTTGTTGGAGAAGAGTTCCCAAATAAACTATAAACAGGAGTCCTCAAAAACAACAAACTATAGGATAAGACCCTCAAGAATTTATAACAGAAATACAAAAATAATAATTACATGGTAACAGCAACAAAAATAAACAGAAAACCTTTCCACTATAAAGCATGTAGAAATTCTGGATCAAATGTAACAAATTCCTTTCATGTATATAGGTGATCTTACCAGAGGGTAAGAGAAATACCTAAGGGCCAAAAAATAAGTAAGAGAGCTGATGGCATGACAGTCCTTTAGGGTTTCCGGGCTTCACACACCTAAGGGCTTGAGATTCAGCGATCACACAGTAAGACCGGAGACAAGGCCTTAGGCCCACAGGTCAAAGAAGCTGAACTGAGACCTCCACATGAAGCCAGGATGCTCAAAGGGCTACAACCCAGTGACAGAGTAGAATTAAAACACAGACACACAGAAAAACAAGTACACCTGTCTATGTGGGCCTATGGTCTGCATTTGCAAGGCAACAGTCTCCCCTAGAAATGGTACCCACGGGCCTGCTCTCATGGGGTTTGAGATTCAGTTTTATACCACCTTAAGCAAAGACATTTACCTAACAGTGGTCCTGGACAAGTGACATATCTAAGGAGCCTACCTGAAGCAACCACAGACCCTCTCAGGAGTGACATCCCTCTCAACAAGCCACTCAACAACTAACACCTTAAAACAGGCTCAACTTTAGCACGAATAAGAGCCATCAGAAATAACAAAAAAGATAAGACTCTCAATAACTTCTGACAATAGAATTTCCAGTTACAGACTATTAAGTCAATGTTTAAAATGATTAAAAACATTAAAAAAGAATTTAAAACAAAAGAAACACAAGTCTTAATATAAATAAAAATAAATCCACACTTAGATAATTCACAGTGAAACTGCTTAACACCAAACACAAAAAATAAAATCATAAAAACAATGAGAGAAAAGAGAAATTATCTACAAACAATAGACTGATAACACAAGCCAGAAGGCAAAATACTACTACTACCAATGTCATTTTCAAAACACAGAGAATAAATAACTACCAATCTAGTACTCTAAGCTAAATTATCATTTATGAGAGAAGAAAAAATAAAGATATTTGAGACAAAAACTGAGGGATTACCACTAATAGGGATCTTTGTAAGAACTACTACAGATACACTTCAGCCAAGAAGAATCTGAAACTAAATCTAAACAAGAACTTTACTTACTCATTCACTCAACCTTTACTGAGTGCCCACCCTGTGCGAGGCACTATTCTTGGTGCTAAGGGTGGAGCGCTGTGAAGGATCCAAGGCCCTGACCTTAGAGAGCTTGCAATGTAGTAGGGATGGTAAACAGTGGGCACATCACATACCACCAGGCAGCTCTAAGTGCTGTGGAGAAAAATAAAGCAGAGTGTAATAATTAAAATATAGTGGCCAGGGTAAGACTCTCCAGGGAACATCTGAACAAAGGCCTAACTGAGGTGAGGGCATTAGCCATGTGAGTATTGAGTATCGAGTGGGGCAGGGGGTTAGGGGAGTGGATGATGAAAACTACAAATAACTCGTGAGCACTTCCTAAGTACCAAGCTCTTTTTTAATTATCTGGTTAATTATCAAGCTCCGGGCAGAGGGAACCGCCTCCCAGAACCTGAGCTCCCGGAAAGCAGGAACCTTCCTCCTATTCTTTGCATCCATAGTGCCTGGTACACAGGGGGTCCTGGATATGTTGGTCTGACCTCAGTGAAGCAGAGAGACGAGGACTAGGGAACAGCAAGAGGAGGAGATGAGACAAAGAGGCCACAGTCAGAAAAAAAGAAAGAGAGGAAGAAAACGGAGCAGCGTAATGTCACAGAAGCCTAGGAAGGAAGAGTTCCAGAGAAAGATGGAGAGCGTCATCAAATGCTACAAGGCTAAACATACTAAGTCTTGAGAACAGACATTCATATTAATTTAGGAAGTTACCTGCAAGAATTCAGCCCCAACACTGCAATGAATGGCCATCCAGGACTTGCAGTTATGCTGGGAAAGGCACTGCAGTGCGCGGCACAGCACACCGTGCGGTGTACATACAGCAGTCGGCCAGGGACCCAGGAGGGGACATGACCGTGGCCAAGTGCAGCCAGGCAAAGATTTCTTGCAGTAATATTTAAAAGTAATGTTCCAGGTCTTTATTCTCACTCACCACTATCTCGTTCCCAATCCCTAGGTTATCTCTAATGAATTACAATTTCTATCTTTTAGTTGTCTTTTCTGTAACATAAAAAAAATTGTAGAAACTCCAAGTTTTTAGGCACTTACTGTAATAAATATCTAGAATTCCAAAATAAAAATTTCAAATGAGTTAACTACTGAATTCTATAAAAATAAGACTAATGCCCACTAAAGAAAACTTACAGAAAACAAATAAAATAAAATAGCCAAATGGAAGACTTGGCACTCTTGGAATACTTTAGATCAAAATTTAGACCCTGAGAAACACCCGCTCCCTCTGTCCTCACCCTCAAATGATCCTGCTTGCTTTTTTTCCTCACTGAAATAGTCAGAAGAGAACTTCCACAAGGGCTCGCCTCCGTATCTGCCCACTTCCCTGCATCCTGAGAGCTGCCTGCCCTCCGGCTACTTTGAGTCGGCTGTGCACACACCCCTCCACTGGTGCACAGAGTCCGCCCCCTCCGGTCGGCTCACGGGCGTGGCTCCAGGGGTCCATTTTCTCTCGTGCCCCATCAGTTCCCCCCTTTCTCCTGCAGCATTTTCATCAGCATAAAAACACCCTTCCTCTCCAAAACAGCTACAGACCTTGACTGCGTATCTCCCCCAACAACCACTCAATTTCTCTTCTCCTTTTTCAGCAAGATTCACTGAAAGAACTGAACATACTGATTGTTTTCGATCCCACTCTTCCATTTTCTGACCCACTCCGATGTTCTCTACCATTCCACCAAAACTACTCACTAATCACCAAGGAGGTCCATTGGTTAAATCCAATACAACTCCCAATCCTTACTTTATTTGACCTACAGCATTTGATAAGGTTGCTTATTAGAAATCTTAAATCCCACTTACTTCTAAAAAATAAGGATAATAATAATAGTACCTATTTTGGAGGGTGGTTGTGAACATTAATAAATAAATATGTAAAGAGTTCATCAGCACCAAACATGTTTCACTGTTAAGAACTCATAAATGCCAATTAGGGTGGTTAATGCACTGCTACCTACCTACATTCCACCTACAGACTAAAAACAGGGTCCATCCCATACTCCAGAAACAGAATTTTAGAAGAGAATATGACTACTGAATGTTAAGAAAAAGAGTATAATCTCAACCTGCCAATATATTAAGCAAATAACCTATTCCACATGTAAAGAATGACCTTAAAATTTCATTTTTAAAAATTCTTTACTTGCTGATGATTCCTAAGTAACTACCACTAATCCCAATCTCTTACACTCTGGCTCTCATTTTCAATTCCTGTTCAACAGCTTGGTCTAGATAGCTAATTATCTGCTCCAGCTTCTCCCTCATTCTCTATATCTCATTAATCACCAAATCCAGTCCCTTTGACCTCAGTAACAGCTCTCACACCCACTTTACAAGACCGTATGCTTAAAAGGGCAGGGACTGTTTCTGGATCCCACCACATCCCCAGCATAGTATTGGCACCTGGCACAGTACGTGGCATATAACAGGTGCCAGCATCCTAGCGCAAGCTTTCCAGGATGTCTGGGCTCTTTTCTCTTATTCCTTTCTTAAGGCCAAGTTCTGTGGGGGTTTTTAATTACCTTTATCCAAAGGGCCAAAGATAATGTCTAGCATATGATGTTCATAAAATGGACAGATCAATTATACAGTGTTTTTCTTCCTAAGACTTAAAAACAATTTTACAAAACAATCTCATCACAATATACATTTTACAGAGGGGGAAAGTGAGGCAGAAACAAATGAACTTAACTTGGGGGGAACCACTCAATTAGTGGTGGAACTAATATAAAAATTTGCTCTCTTACCCCCTAAACCATGGAAAATAACTGAGCCAGAGCCAGAAAATACTAGTAAGGAGGAGATGGTAGTTTACTTTCTACTGGTACTTGACCTTGGCCTTAAATCATCTTTTTCCACTGCAAATTGACATTTTAAATGCTAGCAGTTACTTAATCCACTAGGTATACAAAGAAACAACAACTTTATTACCAAGTCAATAAGAATTTCCTTTCTGCTGAAATTCTACAGATTAGCACAAATTTGATAAAAAAAATACCTTCCTACTTCTATGTTTCCTTGATTCCAGGTGAAATAACATTGGCGGGTCTTCTAGAGTTCTATTTTCCCTCTACAGAACATGCCAGATGACTAATTTCAGGCTTGTTTATTCCAGTCTTAATGCCATCTCTCCTAGAAGATGTAACTTAAAATGACCTAACATTTATTTTCTGAGTTGAACAGAGATTAATTTATTGGTTAGGTTCTATGTCATACTGCGGCAATACAGAAAATCTTAGTTTCAAGGCTTCAGGTCTCACTGGGAGAGACCATTTTAAAATGGCCTCATTAAAGATAATGTGCTTAATAAACATATGGAAAATTTATAAATTAATTTAATTAATACAAAATATCTTAAAACTTAGGATACTAAGAATGATCTAGAGGCTTTATCTCACTGGAGTTTAATTCTAATATTGCCCCTACATCCCATCATGATGCTACTTTTATAGCTCAATTTTGTCACGTTAAAGACAATGAACCTAATTCATTTTTAAAAATTGTTCTGATTTATCCAGGCATCTGCTGGATTTAAGTCAGGATCATGATTAAACTCAGCAGACTCCTGACATGTAAGGCATAACTTCAATGTGACTCGCGACTGCTGGAAACCGCGGCACACAGATCGATCTCTTTGGTGGCACAGCAACCGAGATGGAGGAGTTTCGTGTTAAAGGACCATGTGAAATATGATAAGGATTAGATTTCAAGCAAGGCAACCAACTTAGGGCTAAAGCCAAATGTATCAGATGCATCCTATAGACATTTTATACAAAACAAGGTAGATTTTATTTTCCTATTGATTTACATTGTAATTTCAGGGTGGTATTCTTACAGAGAACTATTTTTAAATTACATTTAAAATACCAATATTTACTTCATTAAGCAATTTCAGCTTCTTCATTCCCCTAGCACCTCTAATAAGAATTTAATCAAGTGGGTAATACATCTACATATCATG